TCTTATGTGAACCCTTTACCTAACGCTGAATTTATACCTCCTACTCGTAGGAATCACCACCATACTCCACACCTGTAACCTACTTGTACCAAATTCGTACCCTACGGAATACTAATAACACGGCTCCCTGAGACCTCGTGAATCGCTACCAAAAGTGCAGCTGATTGAACAAGAACGAAAAGTCACAAAAATCAAAACAACTCCAAATACCAGAAGATTCCTCCACATTGGACCCAGTAAATGCGCTCCTCACACATTCTCTTGTCTGTCACACCTTCCAAATGACAAAATTTATTCAATCTCCGCTGAGAGCAAGAGATGAGTTAGCAGGCACCTTTGATCCAGCCGGTATCCTGCTATTGGTTAATAGATGCCCCAAAAGGAGACATCGTTGAGGTTGCTGTGTCCTCAAACTTCTTCTTCAGATCCCAGAGCTCCGAAACCTGTTGCCTCGGCCATTGAGACATCCTTTGCCGCGGCAATGATCGCCTCTTCGGCCTTTTTTGCTGCAGCCCTGGCTCGTACCACCTTCGCGAACTCCCCTTGTTCGATGTGGCGAATCCACGCGAGCTGCTCTTTGGTCACCGGTCCGGATTTTTTTGGTCTGACTTGGTAGGCCCGAGAATCCGATCGGTGAAGTCCCCCACAGTTGCAACAGCGTGTAAGGGCCTTGCACTCTGTTTCGGAGTGCATATTTGATCTGCAGTTCCAGCAAGCTGGAGCGCGGGAGCAACCACGAGTGGCGTGGAAGCCCAAACAGCGTTTGCACTGTTCAATTGATCGACAAGGCTTATGGATGGTAGCCATACCCGAATTGTCGAAAAGGCGGAAGCCCGCACGAGGAGCTTCGTCCCAGTGAAAAAGGGCATGCCAGTTTTGATAAGGCAATCCAGGCCTACATGTCCCATGAGGTCGGACCTGGATTGGATACGCGCTGGTCGTAAGGAAGATCTCAGCGGTGACACTTGCAGCATTGGTTGCTACGGGGCCGTACTGTGAAACAATACTTACAGATACGTTTGGTATCTGTAAGGTGACAAGATCCGAAGATGCTTCGAGTTTGGCGTTTTCACTTGCCAGCTTCGGAGAGACATCTAGGATCTCTTGTCGTATTTTTTCGTTCTTTGCTATAATAGCAAAGCCGGTCTTCACTCAATGAATCGAGTTTATATCATTGTAAGAGAGATTAAGCGTGTCTGCTACCTTACTTTTCACAATGTTGTTTGAAAGATTCCGCCATGGGTGCTCCTTTTCCAGGCGAAGGAACAGTCGCTTATCGACTTTCGCCTTGGGAGCTTCTTTCTTTTGGGCTCTCGCCGCAGGTCGCGGCACAGCCTTTGCTATAGGAGCTGCATTCTGTCGCAGTCCATTTTTGGCCACCGTGGCCCAGGCGCTTTTTACAGGCAGAACTGGGACGGCGGGAGTTGTATTGCTCCTGGCTTCTGGAGCCCTTGGGGTCGGGTTCGCAGGGCGAGGAGGGAGGACGGGTGGCGTGATGGACGGGCCCGTGGCCATGTATTGCGCAATGGCGGCGCGTAAGTAGACTCTCATAGAGTCTACAAATTGTCTATTTGACCCGTTGGTCAAAGGGAGTAGGGTGGCTTCGACGCCAGAGATGGCGGCGGAACAGAGGGCCAGATTTGCCGCTGTTTCGGCGGCGCGTCGTTGTTCAGCTTCGACAATTGGTCGAAGCTCTAGGGGACACTCTGCTTTTGTGGCAGCCTTTGGCTGCGACGTTGATTTTGGCGCTGCTTTATCTGCAGCGTTTTCCGACGGTTTTGACGCTGTCGGAGGAGATTTTGACGATTCTCCAGTCCCGTGAGGGACGGAGGATAGTTGAGGAATTTCCTCAACAATTTCAACTGACCCGATCATGTCAGTATCGGGTTCAGCGACGGCAGGGAGGGCTTTTTCCTTCCCTTTGATGGAGACCTTGTTCATCTCCGCGCATTTCGGAGACTGGCTAAGGCCAGGTAATTGTTCGAGAGCCCTCGGGTGGACTCTCGTGTTGTCCAACTTGGCGTTGGGACGCTTTTTGCGAACTGGAGGCATGGTGAAAATGCCTGAGCTCGATCACAATTCAGAGATGAATGCAACGAGGTCAAGAAGGGAGGAAAGAGGGAAGCAATGAATTTTCGAATTTTCTAATTTCTCGAATTGTGCGTTTTGTTTGTTCATTAACGTGCTAGGTCGAGTAACTACCGTCGCACTCCTACTGGAGCTTGAGCACAAGTGGGGTCGGGCCGGATCAGGTTAACTACCGTGCAGTACAAATGCCTCGTCCCACCTAAATGACCAGAACTATGCCAAAACGCATCTATGTGTTGAACCATGACAAATTCGGCAGCCCAGAATTGAAAACAAAACAAAAACTTTCCCGCAAAATCCCGCATTACAAAAGAAAAACTTCATCAATCTCCCTTCCACTGTTCCGCCTCAGCCACCACGCGCCTGAGCCTCGAATCTAATCTCTCTGTCCATGCCAAACCAAAGGCGGACAGCTGGCCGGACTCTTTTGTAATTTTTAGGTGTTTAGTGCGCGCTAGAGCGTCGGGTAGTTCTGTAGGGACTGGGCCGTCCATTACGTGACATTAGTCACGAGCTGTTGACAGGCACGACGTTAAATTCAATCAAATCAAATCAAATCAGGACAGGCCTTTATCCCTACGTCATTCACCTTAGAACCGACAGTTAGTGATTAGTAGGGCTTCGACCCTACCATATGATCTGATCGTAGTTAGCTTTATGATAATGGTGATAGGGGAATGTGTTGAGAGATGAAGACGATACAGACGGCGAAAGCGATTGGAAATCCTCGTCGAAGTGAGGACTTTGTTACTCAATCTCAGCCCTGCAGACTCTACAGTGAGAGCTGGAGGTTCGTAGGGGACACCACTGACAGGTGTCGAGAATAGTCCCCCATTCGAGAGCCGTAGATTCATAGATGTATGAATAAATATCTACTCGCGACGGGTACAAGCCCTGCACTCAAAGAGCATGACATCGAGAAGACTAGCTTGTCCAACGACTATATACGACATCAACTCAGTTTGACATTTGGACTACTCATATAATGGGTGCATTCGCTGATACCACTTAGAATCTTGATGCCAGGGACTTTCACCCTTCGCTCAACCGTTAATTTCCACCAAAGGGAAAACGGGAAAAACCTTTGGCTACGCTAACTTGTCTTTGCCATCTGTCATATAGCCGCCGCGCGAAATATGGCCTCACAGTCCTCCCTTTCTCGAGTGAGGTAGGTGTCCAGGCTACCCTGACTTTAATTCGGGGAGATGACGACCTGGAGGCGGACCAAAATACCTTCCATCGTTGCCCGTTTTTAGAGTGTCGGTTGCATTATCCGAAATTGTAGCCTCTACGCCCACAGACATCCTCAACTTGAAAACGCTCAAAAACACTAGAAAAATATATGTCCTAATATGTCTCAATATGCCCAAATGTAACTTCGTCACTCGTTAGTCACATGCCCCAGCTGCCTGTCCTCCCTCAAGATGTGAAGCCTCATTAGAGCAACAGTCCCACATAGAGCAAGACCCGAGCCCCGTAGATTATGACTTAATTTCCTCCTCGCGGCCATACATAGCAACATAATTTTGTAGTGGGAGATGGCTGGTTCTTGATGAAGTAAATGCCCGATTGCAATTGGAGTAACGCCATTATCGAAAGTTGAGGCGAGTTATTTGGTGGTAGAGTAGGTCGAAGGGCTCCCATAAAAAGATTGGTTCTAAATTGACGAGAAGTTGTTGATTTTAGATATGCTTGAGGTTGCATTACACTTTGATTCGGATACTATTCCTCTTGGATATCCCACATACACAGAGCACACTACGCGATTTTTTTTTTGCATCAGATTTTAATATCGTATGCAGCTATCTAGCTATGACACAATATCAAAGAAAAGTACAGTAAAGATGAATCAATTTACAAGAGGAGCACTCATGCTTCAGATTTCATTTGCAAGCACCACTGCGAAGTCATGGCGGCTTTTTCTTCACCCCAAGTCAACCCTCATCCGTGAATACCCACCCAGGGGAACGTCTCAAAAATCATGAGTTATCCAGACATGCCTCCATAATCCGTTCACATTTCTCCGCGCGAAATATGGTCTGAGATGTCTCCTTCCCAAGTGAAGTAGGTGCCCAGGCTACTCAAACTTTACCAGAGAAAATCACCAGGGGGCGGACCACGGCACCTTCCATCGTCGACTTTTGTCTGTAGTGTTCGCTGCAATCTCGCAAGCGAATTCTTGGCGCGCACAAAGCTCAATTCGTAAAACTCTTGCCAAAATTCGAAATTTCACGCCCGTCAAGAACGTATCCATTCTCTGCATCATCTTGTCAACTTATCCTTATCCCTCTCACGTCCATCCCAAAGAACTATCTCCCAGATTTGTGGACCACGCTTTGCTTCCTCCTGCGAGTGTAAATATCGGCGGGGGCGTGTATATGGTGGTCAACTGAGGCCAGAGAAGGTCGAGGAGTGGTGTGATCATTGGAATGAGGATGTACTAGGTCGTAATTGCAGAATTGTTGAAGCCTAGGAACGACTCGTACTCTTTGGAGTGAAAAATTGACATGGTGGAGTAATTTGAATTTTTGCCTCGTGGGCCTACTTCTTTGATATTGCAAAATTTGACTGAACTTGGCTCCGGGAGAATATTTCGCTCCCAGGTTCGTAGAGGACACCGCGTACAGGTGTTCAGTCTTGTCCTCCTAGCACTAAGCGATTACACCGGCACCACTAGAAGGTGTAGAGTTAATCTCCGACAGTAGCATCTGGGGGAACGGACATTGCTTTCGAAATTAAAGTTCCGGTTGTCACGTGATAATTGAATTGTTAATACATATTTGTTGCCTTTTATCTAAGGCAATAAAAGCCCGCAGCCAATGCCCAAGGTACTTTACTAATTTCGCTGATGCCAACTATCTTTTGATCTAGATTTCTGTAGAGTATCAAGAAATTTATCGCTTTCCAGTCCTATGGCGCCATCATCAGCTCGGCAAATCCTCTTAAGCCCGGCAGAATTATCTTACATCCACACCTCTCTTTCTCACACCCCTCCAATCCGTTCAGATGGACGCCAGCCCAATCAATTTCGCCCACTTACTGCGGAAGCTGGAATTCTTCCTAGCACCAATGGAAGTGCTAGAATTTGTTTCGCCGATGGAACTGAAGCTGTCGTTGGAGTAAAGGCTGAAGTTGAGAAATCATGGTCGGCTGAGAATATTAATATTGAGCAGTGTTCCAAGAACTCTCTGACAGGACCCAGTTTATCAGAGACAGATAAAAAAGGCTTGAGAGAGTGGGTGGATGTAAGCGTCGAAATACCTGGTATAAGAGATGACGAGTCCATGCCAATTTTTCTAGCAGCCTTATTGTCTGAAGCTTTACTTGCAGATGGGATTTTTACAAAAAAGTTGTGGATTAATAACAGATTTCATTGGAGGCTGTATCTAGATGTATAACTAGGCTGTTGTTTATTTTATACTTGTACTGACAATTGGGTAGATTTTATTACTCTCCCCACCACTCTCATACCCTCTTCCGCTGCTGTCACTGACTATGCACCTCGCGCTGCTATCAACTAGACTCCCAAAGCTAAAGTCAGAAGGAGATGAGGATCCACTTTTTGAGGATGATTGGGAAGTTTCAACGTTCCTGTACCCTCGTGGTAATCGAACTATCGTCCGCCCGCCTATTACGCTCCTTGTGATTTCCGTCAAAGACAATATAATTTTCGATCCAAGTAAGGAAGAGCTAGCGGTTGCGGAAGTTGTCCTGGCTATCTCTGTAGGAGAAGGAAACAAACAGGAAGGTTTACAAGCAAGTAGAAGGGACTTGAGACTGTTGGCAACTCGAACCATTGACCCACCTTCGAGGCTTACCTATCCTGGTGTTTCGGCTTCTCTTAACCCGACGATGGGAGGCATGCCAGGCACTTATGATGAAGCAGTTAGCCACAAAGAAAACTGTGTAGAAGAGGGCGTATGGATTCCTCCTCGAGGAGGCGCTAAACGAAAGTTAATTTCAGCAATGATCCAGCAGGTCTTGTCACCAGGGGGTATAGCAGATGAAGTGCTTGATGGGCTTGATGCTGTAGAGTTAGGTTAGGAAGTTGTGGTATTAAAAATGTAAATTGTTTGGAGTCAAAATATCTACCAAATCCCTAGCCATTTCTTAATTGGTCTCTTTTCCTGTACTTCTTCCTTTATTTCTGTTTGGCTTTCCAAATTAGACGCTTGACTCGGCACATCAGCGACTTCACCATTTTGGATTTTTACTCGCCCATCTAAACTATTGGTACCATTGTTAGTGCTTGATACCCATGCACCAAGTCCGGCATTTTCACTTAATCCATGCGCCTTCCTGAATGCTGCTCGTTTCGTTACTTCTTCAACCCTCTCTTTTCTTCTTGCGGCCGTCTCTTCAGATACTCTGACTGTATCCAGTTTTATGACCTCAGTTAGAGTCCTCCAAAATTTGATTGGATGAAGAAACAAGCTATACCAATCAGGGAGCATATCCGCAAACGGCGAGTTTCTCTTAAAATTGGTAACAAATACTGTCACAGCCAAGCTGGTTAAGGTTCCCTACTTCAGGTGAGATAATGTAAAAGGCTATGAATTACTTTGAATGAGAGCCGTACGAGTGAGAGCCATAGGTGTAAAAGCCTGTTGTGGATAAACCAGTGCATAAATGTTCCTTCCGGTGGCATCATGTTTGGATATTTTTTGGAGCCCTGTCTTGCGATATCTTCAGCAGTCAATGGAGGGCCAGAATATTTGATACCTGGCTTGCGAAGACGAGCACCATGCGAAGGAGGGTTAAACTTCGCTGGTTTCTCGAGAACAAGCTGTTTTTTTGATTTTGAGGAAGCATGTCGGATACCTGTGATGATTTGAGGGAGAAGGATATTTTTGTAACGAGAATAAACAACCTCTCGAGGCCCAAGGAGTTGTTGGGGTAAACGGGAGAAATGCATTGACAATCCAAAATGAGATTTGTGAGCGGAATCGAGGTATTTTCGATCAGGGATCCGAGGCATCTTGGCGCGACACTATTACGGTGACCTAAACTGTAAAATGAGTTCATGTCGACGTACAAGGGCCTACATTATTGGGATTAAACCGAACCCAATCACACTGCTTATATTTCAAAGACCCTGCTATCAATCAGGATTTTTAACACACTGTTCACATTCATTCACCCCTAACCTTAAAATTATACACACCTAAAGAAATCCATCCTGCTCTCTCAAAATCAATCTTTCACGCATCCAATCAATCGTCTAACGAAAATGGGCTATTCTAAAGGTATGTATTACTTAGTATTTCAACAATAGAGTTCAATCTGCATCACTTGTTGAGCTACAAAGAAACTGTCTTATCTATCCCCCACCAGCGCAAATAACATAGTGCTCAAACACTTGCTCCTTAATTTGATCTTTTATCACACAATTCAAGCAAAATAATTTCGACGGATACGGAATCCCTTTATACCATGACGTCGGAGTTGGCCCAGAAAATTTATCAGACAAATAGGGTCCTATGAAACTATTGTCTCCATGATTTCCCAATATTACCACAATCGCGCCCAGATCATGTATAATAACAACTTACATTGTTCCTTACTAACAATTTTCTCCATCAGGAAATGCAGCAAAGGGAGCCACTCTCTTTAAGCAAAGATGCTCAACATGTCACAACCTCGAAAAGACTGGTGAAAAAAAAATCGGTCCAACTCTCCATGGCCTCTTCGGACGTAAGACAGGATCTGTTGAAGGTTACGATTATACCGATGCGAATAAAGGAAAAGGGATAGTATGGAATCACGATACACTAGTGCGTCAAAGTTTTAATTGGAATTCTTTAGGATATATATATTGATTTTTAATAGTTTCTGTATCTTGAAAACCCAAAAAAATACATTCCAGGCACAAAAATGGCTTATGGCGGACTAAAGAAAGAAGCTGATCGGAACAATCTTATCACGTATGCCAATTCAAAACTTTGTGTCAACAGGTGCTAATGCAGGCTTAGATACCTAGAAGAAAATACGAAATGATTATTTTGAACGAATGTATTTTTATTTATGATAGACTGTACAATATATCAGACAGGATGGGAAACTATCGTTCATCCCAGTTCTCCACTCTTCTTAATCCTGAATATGGGAAAGCTTACAGATTTTAATCATGTACCGAATAAAATATATCCGATGCATATACCTACATTTAGTCATCAATTTGTAACCTTGGACTTTGATCAAACCTAAGAATAAGTGACTAAACCGCTTTTAATATTTTTCACCTTTCAATGAGATCCAAATTTTCCACTAGTACATAATTACAGACAAATTGTTCCGTTACTTACTACTCACTTCGAAAAATATCCCGATATATGAAAGGACACAAATTAAAGGGGCTTTTCACACACTTAATCTCTCAAAATGATCTGCAAATAGATCCGTTTCTGTTTTGATCGTAATACTCAGTAGAAACAGAGGTGCTAGATGAAAATTAAACCCTAATTATTTAGAGCCACTGACTTATCCTACCATCGAATTAAACTAAGTTGAGAATGGTTACTACCACTCTAAAACTATCGCAGAGCACTGGCTAAAAGGCAAACTTTAGAAATTCTCCTTGTTAGACTCGCGTCTATACACTAAACCAATAGTTCAATTATAAAATGACTTAGGTGAGCTTACAGAACCATTAAAGGCTCTTGTATACTTTGATTGTAGGCAAAATTAGCCTCCATGGCATAGAAAATCTCGCAAATCAGTTGATTGTACGCAACCACCTAGCTTCGAGATAGGTTATTTTCAGGTATAACATGTATGATTTATACCCAGAATTCCGTCTAGTGCGTTGCTATTGTAAACGTCACCATAAAGTACATGCGATCCTAACAACATATAACCCTCATTCATAAGTGCCCGAAAGAGCAAATTCTTGAACCCTACGGCTACCCAAACATACCATCGTTAGAATGTTACAATCGTCGCGAGGAAAGCTGATTACAATCTGGTTCAAAAAAAATCGTCGCGAGTATAATGATATGTCTATAGATTAAAACTGGCGAAGACCAACCCGAATTTGGCTATATATCCGAGCTAGCCTAGATATTGTACCACTGGACCATTCAACCATCTGGCACAAAATTTCCATACTTGTTAGTGGCTCAATACGAACCTCTAGCCCTAGCAGAGGAGCCTGCAGAGCCGAAATTTAATCATACCTGTGAGTGGATAAGTATCTTCCCATAGTCAGATCCAACTATGCGGTCATGTGACACATGAAGACTTGAGGTTATACAGGCATCGAAGGCGATCCGTGCATACACACCCAGGGGAACGTCTCAAAACCCTCAGTTATCCAGACATGCCTCTATCATCCGTATACTAGTCTCCGCGCGCTATGAGATCTCAGGCTTCACTTCTAGCGGAGTAGGTTTCCAGGCTAGTCAAACCATACCGGAGATCAGCGCAGTGAGGCGGGTCACGTTCATCTCAAAGAACTGTCTCCTAGATTTGTGCGCCACGCTTTATTTCCTCGGTCGGTTATGAATATCAGCGAGGGCGTGTATTTGGTGGCCGGCTTGGGCTAGAGAATAGTCGATGAGAAGTGTGGTCATTGAGACGAGGATGTACTAGATCGTACTTGTAAACTTGATGAGGTGTTGATGGGGATCGGTCTCGTTGAGTGGGAGAATTTTATTTCGTAGAGAGTTTTGGTTCAGTGACTCATGAGCCAACTTCTTCGGAATTGCGAAAAAAGACTGAACTTGGCTCTGGCTGAATTATCCAGTCCTAGTTTCGTAGAGGACATCGCGTATAGGTGTTCAGTCTTGCCCTCCTACCGCCTGATTAGTAGTGCTGTCTTGTTCAGCTTCGTCTATCCCTCACTTTGCAGCCTTGTCGTGAGCATTCTCAACAATACGGTTGGGTACTCACCTACCCTTAAACAATGGTCAAACCGTAACAATTACACACCCTTCAGGGCCGGTCCACCCTATAGAGAACGCATATCTTGGCCATTTATCCTACTCAACACGCAAGATTGTGAGTTACTTGAGTGCAGCTGACTCTTTAAAAAACAAGCGAACGATGGAAGGTGCCGTGATCCGCCTCACTGCGGTGATCTCCGGTATGGTTTGCCTAGCCTGGTGTGAAGGGACTTCACATTTGTTGTTCATAATTATGGGTCCAAAAATGAATTTATATTTTATCTAAAAGGAAATATCTTTGACCCGCGCGCAAGATATTTTATTCCAATCGAGCGCGTTTTCCCGTGATACTAGCGCGCTTTTGTTCATAGACGGAGCCGGATAGTTCCGGATCCACCTACAAGGCTACAGCCTGTAATACCTGGTCACCTACTCCACTAGAAAAGAAGCCGGAGATCTCAAAGCGCGCGGAGACTAGTATACGGATGATAGAGGCATGCCTCGATAACTGAGGGTTTTGAGACGTTCCCCTGGGTGTGTATTCACGGATGAGCCTTGACTTGGGGTGAAAAAAAAGCCGCCAAAACTTCGCAGTGGTGCTTGCAGAAGAAATCAGAGGCATGAGTGCTCTTCCTTTAAATTGTATCATTTATTATACACTTCTCTGATACTGTGTCATAGCTAGACAGCTGAATACACAAATAAAATCTGATGCAAAATAAAATAAGAAGTATCTTTCAGGGAACACGATGCTTCTGGCAGGTCATTCCGCTAATGACCATCTTAACTGGCAGTATGTTAGGATCTTGTTATTATCTTGGCAATAGGAGACATCAGGATGAGTTTTCAATGACAATAATTACGGACTCTCAAGGTATGGCGAGGGTGTAATATGGACATGAATGAGCGTGTACCGCAGCATGTCAACATTCTGAGCGACAACATCAAGCTTCGATTACACAAGTAGCTTGAGGGATAAAATTCAACACGTGTCAGTGGTGTCCCCTACGAACCTCCAGCTCTCACTGTAGAGTCTGCAGAGCCGAGATTGAGTAACACCTTATCAACTTTGAGCTGAGTTATCTCCCCCTCCGTTAAAGATACGCCTCCGATAACTCATAAGACGACTGTAATGATGCTGGTGATGAGGAAAGATGTTGCGGTACCAAACACTACAACGGTAGTCAGAGAAGCCCTCGTTATATTACAACATGTGCTACCCACCGGCGGGCAAACAAAAAGCCCACGAAAGCAAAGTAAAAGACCCTTCCGCCCTCAAGAAAAGCAGATTTCGACTCGTCAACAATATGATTCCTTCTAATCTATACCTCCCAATCTACTAGCCAGGAGGGCATCTGAAGTACATGAGTTACTCGACAACCCCACGTCCGTAACGAATTTTGGATGCTAGGCTAGGCTCCTTCGCGACTGTCACTCTCGACCAAGACTTTTCTGACATCCTTTCACGACCTACGATTTGTCCTGCGGCATGAATCAAGGGAGGAATAATGAGGAGGCTAGAAATGTTGAGAGACACTATTGGGTATATACAGGTCTGCTGCGCCCAGCTGGCCGGCCTCTTCGTCATAGGAGAGCCCCGCACCCAGTGGTTTTTGAGACTTTTCCCTGCAGCTAAACACCCGCAAATGGCTATCGTTTTTGTGTGTGTGTGTGTTTTATTGTACTACTTGAGTCTATGACTATCTAGCACATTGGGCTCCTCTCTGACCCAGGCCACACCTTGTGCAGTGCTCCTTGTCTCTTTTGTTACTGGTAAGATCATTGATATATTGCCCGTGATGAATAGCAATTCAGCTCAGTGTTTACCCGTGAAATTCGGCCACCTTTTCCACGGAACCTTCTACCCAAAAAAAAAAAAATGGTAGCAATGGAAACTGCGTGCGCGGAAAAAAGTCTCAAAAAACCTGCAGGACCAACCAGGCGAGGCCTAGGCACCGGGACCACATGAGGTGCGCGTATTCATCTAAATCTCTCATCTTTGTAACATTAGAGGTCGACTTGATCCAATCCGCCATCTCCGTATCGGGTGCTGAGTACGCTCCGGACTCTCATCAGATGGCTTTTCCTCCATGACAAAGGGTTGGCGATGAGTAGGGCTCCGACCGTACCATCTGATCTGATCGTGGTTAGCTTCATGATAGTGGTGATAGGGGAATGTTTTGAGAGATGAAGACGATACAGACAGCGAAAGCGATTGGAAATCCTCGTCGAAGTGAGGACTTTGTTACTCAATCTCGACTCTACAGTGAGAGCTGGAGGTTCGTAGGGGGCACCAGTGACAGGTGTCGAGAATAGTCCCCCATGGCTATCGCTTCGTTGGCCGGAGAGGGGAGGTAATGACGGGATAACGGCTTCTCTTAGTTTGTACTAGAATGAAGACCTGTGGGGTATTACCGCTGGAAAAATGTCGTGAAGGGGGCATAGTTCGGAGTACACTACCCGAGGCATAGGTACTCCCAGCTTATAGGTAGAAAGGAACTACATGTCCCTCCATAGTTATAGACTTTACAGGAAAATAAACACCCAAACACGAGTAGCTACCAATACACAAGAGAGCAGACAAAGTCCAAAAAAGGGCTACGATGTGAGCCTTACCTCCAGTTTCTTATCGTGTTACACCTTTCCCGTCAATTATTCTTTAAGGCTTTAAGCACTCAAGGCAAGATCTTTGTTTGTACCCATCTTCAAAGTCACCATTTATTGGACGTCGTCGACTCTAACGATGACAAGTGCTTATAATTCCCGGCGACAACGCTTACTAGATAGGGTAGAGAGCATACGTGCATACAATGGATCCTATCGTTGCACAATTAATGTCGTGTCAAGAACTAATGGTGCTATTAGGGTAGGGGATACAGGCATGGTCACGTAGGCGAGTGAAGATATACTGTGATGCCACGATTTCAAGTTTTCAGTGTATTTAAATGGATCGCATAAACGCTTCGGGGGTTGTGCCCCTGTCAGCGCCAATTTCGACAAGGTACATAAACATTGTCATGGATTTTCAGGCCTAAGCCAAGGGCACAACTTGGTTTCATGTCACCCTCAGTTTTATGCAAACTCAGCCTAATCTCTAATTCTTTGCCATCACTTTTATGGCCGCCAACCGCTAAAAAATTACACAACTCTTCTCATCTTGTGCTTGAGTGACAATAAGAATTTGATTTCTCAAATATAAAGTTATTTATTCAGAAGATACATAGCTTTACTCGATACTTACCTTATTTTGTAGATGAATCCACCTTAAGCCCCACCTTCAACATCTCGAATCAAACAATTATCCAGAGATCAAAACATATTAGTAAGTAGAAGAACTAAAATGAACGAATCTAAATTAAAAGAAATTTTAAGATTTATGGGCTCCATGAATCTGGCAAAAACAAGACGCAGATTGCAGCGCAACTAGGCAGTTCTCGGGGACAAGTTAGTTATTCACTGCGCCGCGGAACTGTCTCCCCTAAAAAGAGAAAAAGAACATCCTCAAGGCTGAAAGCAGATGATGTTGATCAGATTACATCTTACGATGAGTCTCCACCTGGAAACCGCCGCAAAACATTTTTGGAACTCGCCTCTGGCCACTTCAGACATCTTGGTGTTAGCGAGCGGGTAATACAAAAAGAACTTCAAAAAAGAGGATGTCAGCGACATGTGGCTCGTCTAAAGCCTCCAGTATCTCAGAAAACTATGCAGACACTCAGAGAATGGGCCGAGGCTCATCTCAATTGGACATATGAAGACTGGATGTCAGTTTTATGGACGGACGAAACTTTGGTAGAGGATGGAAGACATTCTAGACAATGGGTGTCAAGAAATGTTCTTACATTCCTCAATAAGAAGATGGTAATTTGATGCTCTAACATTATGAGCTAGAATTCCCAAGAACACAATTCTGATTGTGTTGGAAAAAACTCGAAGAATGGGGTCGGATGGATGTTCTGGAGATGCTTCGCAGGGCCAGAAAAAGGCCCTTGTTTGTTTTGGGAGAAGGAATGGGGTTCCATTAACTCCCAAAAACATTGCGAGGAGACAGTTCCTCTTATCGATGGCATGGTCTCGATGAGACCTTGGCTTTCCGTAACCAGGATAATGTTCCTGCCCACACAGCAGAAAGTAAAATGGGAGATATAAGCCAGAGGCTCATTCAACCGATTTTCTGGCCGGCCAACTGGCATGATCTTGACCCAATTGAAGCTGTTTGGAATAGGATGATGGATTACATCCAGTATCACCATCCGAATCTGGGTGGCGGAAAGCAGCGAACTCGAGATAGTATCGCAAGATCGTAAAGAAGGCATAGGATTCCGTATCTTCCGAAGATCTTGTGAGGCTCATTAGAGTATTCCAGGAAGATGTCAGGCTGTGATAGATGTGGATGGGGGGCCAATCAGATACTAAGGCCTGAAAATATTACAGCCACCTGTTCAGATCTAAGGTTGTGATAAAACTGTGGCTCCATTTTGAAAGTTGAAATCTTTAAACTCTTGTTAATAACTCATAAAGTCAAGTAGCAAAAATGCACAAGTGTTATGCAGCTGATCTTTATACCAATTAGGTTTAGTACGAAGGAAAGACCCACTACAAACTATATGTCTAGAAAAAAACTGCCATACAAATTTTTCGAAAATTTGCACAAATACGGGGGCTAACCCCAATATGGAAGGTAATTATGCCTAAGGAGTCTTAGTTTGGACGCTAAAAGCCCTGCCAAAGCTCCACTGAAAACTTGACACCGTGGAACCACGGTATATACAAAGATGCACGTAAGAGCTCCCCAGTCCATTTCACTGGCTGCATGTAGGACCCAGAGAAGGGACAGGGACTTTATGAAGAAGCTAGAACATATGCTGGTAGAGGCAGCTGCAGCGACCTACAGAATCCCATCAGCCTATACTGTTCATGATTCTAGCACGGATTCCATGTCGAGTGGATATCGGTGTCTGTCGACGAGACGCTAAATTGATGTAGCAGTTGCACCAGAAAGATCCGATCGTAATACTGGGGAAAGTATGCAATGCAGGGGAACTAAACTGTGCCGGCAGAATGAACACAGATCTGATTGTAGAGATGACTTGCCTAATTCAGCAAGAAACAAAGCTCGTAATTCGCTGAGATTCACTTTTCACTTGAGTTGTTCGCAATTTTCCCTTCCCCGAGACAGTAAAACTCGATGGAAATGTGCCCATTGTTAACTTGAGACCTCCAGGGTGGTATTAGACTTCCCATGCCCTCTGAAAGCTGCTGCGCTAATACAAATAAGATGAAGGCTTGTTGACCAATCAACTTCGACTATGTGAAGCGTGTTAAGGATGTACGAACCGATGGGCTTGAGCCCGACCATTCCAGCCTTAATTAACGAGATTGCACGGCGCTCGCTAGACACGCACAAAATGTGGATGGGATATAATAGAGAACCGTGAGTCTTGAATGACCCTGGGGATCGCCCATTTTCAGACAGACGGGTATTAGAGAAACCATGGGAGTGGGCATGAAAACCTTGAAGAATTTGGCTGATAGCTGTTAGCTTTTACACTAATTTTTTGTCTGTTGCCCAACCTTCTAAGACTTTGTCTGTAAATCCAGACCCTATGGAACCACTTAACGCTAAGGCAAACAATTTGCAATTGGCTAGATGCATACTGCTACTGCAGATAACGCATGTCATAAACCTAAAGGCACGACCAGCACAATTGCTAATACGATTATAGTGCTAAAATAATTGATCGTTTAGGTAAGAATGAGAGGCCCCACAGTTCATGGAATTGAGTTTTTCTGTATGTCAACAGCATATCCTAGCAAAACCCTTTCGTCCAAGTGAACTGAAGTTTGCTGTGGCGGGTCTTGTCACAGTGGCCTTAAAGACCGGATAAAACCTTTTCCATGTGAGATAGACGTGCGCGCGCTCAAGAATATAATTCCGTGACCATGGTCCTCGCGTACAGTGTGCCGCTCCTTTACGCCTGAGAACCGTGACAGTAACAGGACTCCGTGCCCCTTCACCTTCACGAACTCCTCCTGGTCGCTTCCCCTCCTCACCATATAACTATGTTATTCAAGTCCCTAGAAATCTGACCTCACTGTCTCGACTCGCCAGCGTCCAAATCTCGTCAACTTACTACAGAAACCTAACACAAGCCTGCATCGAAAATCTAGTCGGCCTAACTCAATACTCAACTTCGTTTAACAGTCTATACCCTCCACGTTTGATACAGATAATGGTCATTAGTGTCTAAACGACACGTCGGCTTGAACCCGCTCCATCCTCAAACGGGTCGATCTACAAAAGGTCGCCTTCTACTCTGGCTGCTATTTTCCCACAAGTCTCAGTGTATTTCCATCTTTCAACCTAGAAACGGCTCTTACTACCATGACTATCGAATCTCGCTCCATGAAATCTCGCACCGGCCGTGCAAAACAGCGTATGTTTGACCCCGTTACCCGTCTCTAGCAGGCGCTCCTTCCCCTCGCAAAATGAATAATTACTGTTTGTAGCTTTTGCTAACTAACTCACCCATGAATCAGGCTATAACGAGGCTGGTGAAAGACTTGTTGCCGGGGTGGTTCCCCTCAATAACAGCAAGACTCAAGTTCTTCTTGTCCGGTCAACCGAGAGATCTGGCTGGATACTTCCCAAAGGTGGCTGGGAAATGGATGAATCAATTACTGAAGCAGCGCAGCGCGAGGCTTGGGAAGAGGCTGGCATTATCTGCACCGTTGACTATGACCTGGGACAAATCAAGGATAATCGACCTCCCAAGCACATGGCCACTGTGCCGACAAAGGCCATGTACCAATTCTACGAGGTTACTGTCACTCGTGAAGAATCAGTTTGGCCCGAAGGTCATAAACGCGCTCGAAAGTGGGCCAGTTACGCCGAAGCGAAAATTGACCTTACCCATCGCCCCGAGCTTGTAGAAGCACTCGAACGCTCGACCATACGAAAATAGCATTGGCGTCAGGGAGCCAGTCCCTCTCAACCGTATCCGAAGGCAATTATTAAGTCTTCTCAAACCTCATGAACCTCAAACCGTCAAAATTTGCCGACTAACTGCTCAGGCAGTATCATTGAAAGCCATAGACACCCGTGCTCTTTCATCACAGTACGCACCCCACCAAACTCAGCAGCTCACTAAATCAGTATGTCACCACGCGAGCGCTGGCGAGGCTTAATTTTGGTTTATCCTCAATTTGTTGTTGCTACTCATTCATTAACTGCATAGAAGATAATTTAGTCGGATGGTGCTCTTCTTTGCTCTCCTTGATCTATCAATATCTTGATGCCTTATTGTACGGCATCTCCAAAAATCCCGTCTCTTAGCCATGCGCACCTCAATGCATCACGTCATCCATCTTATCATCAAAAGAAATAAGAGCAACTGCGACAATTATTGCACTCTTGATATTTTTGCAAATCTCTTCAAGAAAGACATCTCCAGATCCCTAGAACTACTGGCACACATGCTTCGGCGTCTTAATGACCGCGCTTTTGGCTGGGCAGAAATATAGTTTAGAACCTAACAATTAGCTATGGAGGGCCTAGTCAACAGGGTAGAGGGCGGGGAGCTAGATACAATGAAACCGGTGACAAGTAGCGCACTGGTAGGGAATGTTGGTGTGGGCCAGGAGATTCAATATGCAATGTTCCCTTGGGAGCCGATTTTCATTATGACCTTGGCATATGCTGCAGGTTATCTGGCAGAAGGGGGCCAAGCAAAGCTACAACGATTTGGTTCGGTGAAATCCCCTCCCCGGTGAGGATCCCCTTGAATACACTCTCTCAGCATTCAGCGAGACACCTCGTCTTTGATTCCAGGTACGCATAGATAGTCAAATTTTTCGCGCAATTACATTTGAGCGGGGCAAAAGTCGCTGGACAAGGCAGACACAAGGGGACCGTTCGACGGGTCACGTTTGGCATGTAGGACAAAATGTCAGGTGGAGTCATATGGCACCTAGCTGCTCGTGCACTTATCAGTCACTCAGCCCCTCGTAAAATCTATCGGGCGGCAGTGAAGAGCGCATTGGGATTGAGTATTGAGCTTGTCTTGATGACTACCACGTGACTCAACTGTAGACTGCTTAGGCACGAGTGCCTCACGCAGCTCACGCAATAGCCGAATTCCCCGACATATGGCACGGGCGTGGAAAGCCATATCATCCACACCACTCTACCTTACCACATTCACCTCAACAAATATTTCCCCTCATACACCGCTCAAGTCCATGAATCATCTCGGTCTCAAAGACTCGGCAGCGCCACCAGCAAGTGTAGCTGTCAATACCACATCGTTAGTATCCGGCATGTTTTCGCCACCACCGCCGCCACCTCCGTTGCAACTGCCACCGCAGATGTTCACAACGGCTTCTCAGCTTCTTGATTTAACTGACAGTACGTTCTACCTCGGGCGATGACACCCTCACTCTTCTTTCCCGGCCTGACGTCGAGGTATGAACCTGGCTCAATCGGCTGATGATGGTGAATCGGCCATTAGAAAAGCTTATGCTCGCTCTACGCGACGGTCGCAAACTGATAGGCACGCTGCGTAGTTGGGACCAGTTCGGTAAGCACGGCGGGCCATTGTCGCCCCCTCCCGCGCGAAGCTGGCTGACCGATATGGGAGAGTGGCGGCGGCAGCGCTTGGACGCCGTCGCTGCCGCAACCCTTGCCCACAGCGAACCTCATCTTGCAATCCACTGTCGAGCGTATCTTCGTGCCGCCCTCAGGCTCGGCGCCGGGACTCTTTGCCGATATTCCGCGCGGCCTCTTCCTCGTGCGCGGTGAAAATGTTCTACTCCTCGGTGAAATTGACCTCGACAAGGACGACGATGTGCCAACTTTCTACGAGCGCGCCGACCCTGAGCTCGTGCTCCAACGTGCTCGTGCTTGCAAACTCGCTGATGCAGCTAAAGATCAGCGACGACTTGCCAAACTTAAGAAACTTGGATTCGGCGGAGAAAATGCGGAGGAGCTGCTCGTTTAGCTTGGCGGTCCTAACCAGAAAACCATGAGTATCCCCCGGCGGAACGATTGGTGACCCTGGGTTCGGCTGGAGATGCGGTAGAGTGTTGACGTGTAGTGGGCCGGATGAGCTTCCGGCATGGCTCTGGCGATATGTGGGTCGGAGTTGAGTATGTTGGTCGACGATTACTCGACAGGTTAAGCTTCTGGGGGCTAAATATACTGTCCTTATGATGTCTCGCTAGCGCGCTGATCCAACTTCTCAAAGTTATGATTGTCAATTTTTAGAAAAAGACGCATGATATGGGGTTTGAGTCAAACAGGGTACGGAAGGGGGTATACTAGTTCCTGAACAAGACGAACTGAGACAAGGTCGCACTTAATAAATACTAGATCCTGAATCTAAGGAGGTTGACTCTATGTACAGATATTCTCAACATATTCTTACATCGAAACAGGAGTAATACCTTCACGTAGCCGCAATTCAATTACATCAAAACAAAAATATGAAAATCTCCATCCCACTGTCTACATGCCCCTCGCCTTGAGGCGACGGTACTTTCCTGAATCCTTAACACTGGCTTTAACCGTACACAATGCACATTCCCAATCTGCCCCCGCGATTCGCACTTCAGTCTCTTCGTCGCAAAGTCCCTCTTGACGTGTCATCATTTTCTTGAGCGCAGCAACCGCCGCTGTTTGATGTAAGCTTGCGAGATCGGCGCCACTGTAGCCCGTGCATCGCTCATCGCGTGCCACACTCTCGAGAGCGTGAACTTCATCTTCGTGTGCCATCGGTAGCGCTTTTTGGTAGAGCGCCTTTAAGATTTCTACGCGTTCATCCGGAGTTGGAAGATCAACAAAGACGGATGTTCCAAGACGTCCAGGGCGAAGCATAGCAGGATCTATCATGTCTGGACGATTTGTTGCTGCGACCACGTAGATGCCCGTGCGATTCGACAATCCGTCAAGCTCTGTCAGGAGAGTATTGACAACTTTACTGCTTGATTCGGAAAGTGAATCCTCGCGCCTGGGAACCAATGCATCCAATTCATCAAAGAAGAGGACACAAGGCACACTGGACCTCGCCCTTTCGAAAACCTGTCGCACTGCTCTCTCAGATTCACCTACATATTTGTTCAGTAATTCTGGTCCCTTGATGGAGATGAAGTTTGCCTTAGATTCATTGGCCACAGCTTTTGCGAGTAAGGTCTTTCCGCAACCAGGGGGACCCCAAAGCAGGACACCGGCGGGAGCCGTTATGCCGACACGAGCGAACATCTCGGGTCGCTTAATCGGCTCCACTATTGCCATCTCGAGTTGTTCCCGAACCGAGTGGAGGGCTCCGATGTGTGACCACGTTGTATCCGGGATGGTAGCAAACCCCTCCCTTTTGGCTGATGGTTGAACCTTTGAGGTAGCTAGAATGAAATCGTCGTAAGTCACTGAAAAGTCACCATTAAGTGAAAGATCACCAGAATGAGCTATTAAAGATCTAAGGATGCGGAGAGGAGCAGAGATAGATGCGGTATCCGAATTATCGATATCCATCTCGTCTACAGTCTTTTGCTTGAGGGCAATCATCATTCTTTTCATTGCTTCAGTACCAGCAACAGAGACAACATCGTTTAAATCAGCCCCGACAAAACCTGGTGTAAGCTTAGCAAGAGCTTGATAATTAAAATCCTCAGATAACTTTAATTTTCGTGTTAAGGCCCGAATAATTTTTTCTCTCGCCCGCTCATCCGGCACACCCAAATTTATTTCCTTATTGAAACGACCTGCTCTCCGAAGGGCAGGATCAAGGCTGTCAGGGCGATTGGTGGCTGCCATCACGATAACTGGTTTTCCCCCAGTCTTCTCTAAAGATATTTCATCCATACATGTTAGCATTTGGGCAACTATTCTCTTTTCCATTTCTCTTTGGGCGCTTTCTCTCTTTCCCATTATTACATCTATCTCATCAATGAATATCAAGCATGGTGCCACCTTAATTGCTTCATCGAAAAAATCTCTGATCTTTTTTTCTGATTCTCCAGACATGCCAGCGACTAGAGAGGGTGCAGATAGAGGAATGAAAGAAACCCCTATCTCGGACGCGAACGCGTTTACAATCATCGTCTTTCCACATCCGGGGGGTCCGTGAAGAAGTACGCCGCGTGGAGGTTGAATACCTGCTTTTATGTAGGTCTCGGGATACAACATAGGCATGGCTACTAGTTCATTGAGTTCCTCAATAACATTTTCAACGCCCCCAAGGTTATCCAGAGAAATATCTGAAGGTGGAGATCGATTTATTTCTTTTTTTGGCTCCCCTTTCCGACGTTTAGCCCTAGATTCACCATTGGATAGACGATCAATCTTAATGGGCGTTTCCTTTTGCCTATCAGGCGGATAGGACATGTTGTGACCTTGAGGTTCATTTAAAGATGATGAATTTTCGTTGACGACATTGGGGGTAGTAGTTTGAGCCCACATTTTTGTAATGCTCCTGTTCATAATATTATGTTCCTTCATCAGGCTGGTCAATGAGAGACTAGAAATACTAATATGATGGAGTCAACCTTTAAAATAGGAATCGAATCTTCGAGCCTAGCAGTTTCTTCTTCTGCGCTGTCACTTAGCTCCTGTTCTTCCTTGAGAACCTGGAGAACCCTCTCTATTGAATCCTCAAGAGTCTTCTTATTACGACGTTTTAAGCTTGAATTGGACCTCTTTATCCAATCATAGAGAGTCGAGACAGTCATGCGCTTGTTCCCTTTTTTACATTCATCTTCGTCGTCCAATATCTTTCGAACAATTTGATATACCTATTTAAAGTAATTAAACGTGGTTAGCGCATATGTGAGTTAGACGGTAATATTTTGCTGGGTTACCTCACGGTCCAGGCCCTGGCTCAAGGTGGTGCGGGAATTCCGAAGTGTCATAATACCAACTGCAACTTTTACATGCGCCTTGTTTTGCGAACGTCCCAAGGGCATTTAAAATTCTTTTTAAAATCAACCTGGTTGCGGTTACGGTAGCCTTGCACTCGCGTAAATAGTACGGAGCCCCGCCATACTTGTGGCTACCCCTGCTGACCCGTCACAACATGAGATACGACCTAGATTTCTGAAACATCGCGACAGCTGGCGCCAGCATGTTGTTTCTCATGTCTCCTCTGTACACTGTAGATCTTTCGTGATAATGGGTAACTCGCCAAGTAGACGGAAAATTTCTGCTCAGGACAAGTGGGTATCCCAGAATGCGGCTCTTGCTTCCTGCAGCTGATATTAGATGTAAGGGCAATTCTAGACATGAAGAATCAAAGAGATAAACTCCACCAGTACCAGAGACGTATTACTATCCTGACTGATAAAGAGAGAGAAATTGCGAAAGAGATGCTGGCGCAGGGTAATAGATCCAAAGCTCAGCTAGCCCTACGAAGGAAGAAATACCAAGAGTCTCTACTGGCCAAGACAGACGCACAGCTTGAACAACTAGAAAAGCTGACCAACAGCGTTGAGTTTGCGCTTATTCAAAAAGATATAATCTACGGCTTAGAGCAAGGAACAAATGTTCTCAAGTCAATCCACCGTGAGATAGGGGGTATTGACCATGTGGAAAAGTTAATGGGGGATACAGCCGAGGCAATTGCGTACCAGGAGGTTATTTATCCGGGTCAGTTGTACGCAGGTTGTGTGGGCTAATTGTTGAGCAGGAGATAAGCGATATGCTTGGTGGCCAAATGACAAATCAAGATGAAGACGAGGTTGAAGACGAACTATCCGCTCTAGAGGTCGAGTTGAATCCCAATATAGCTATGCCATCGGTACCAGGCACAAGTTTGCCAGTAAAATATGATAAAAAGCGACAGCAAGAACCTGCTGAGCCAATAGCCATGTTAACGTAGGGGTATTTCTTGATGGAAAGGGAGTTCTGGCGCTGAATAAATGATCACAAACCCATGTCATACAATAAGAAGCCATAAGAATGAAAGTTCTAATACTCCAGAAAGTTGAAGATGAGGCTCTAAACAAATAATCAATACCTGTTACCTGATCAATATCGAGGTTATGGAGTATAGCTCACGGTCAAGGGGTTTCCATTCTTGCTATCGCCGAAAGTAGCCTATGAGATTGCAGGAGGGGGCTTGAATCTTTCACTGAAAGACATATTTCATTTTGTTTCTTCTTCAAAAATTGTGTAGTTTCGGTGACTTCGGATATGGGATAGATGAACATCAGTAGGCACAAGTGCTAAAAATCCTCAATTTCATGGCAAGCTAAGAAAGAATTTGATACTTATTACAGCCTTACGACCAGGTGCTGATCTACCATGTATACATTTGACACAAAAACACGCCGACAAGATAAAACAAAATAAGGGCATATTATTTAGCATTACTCACTCCTATTGTGGAACAGTTGATGCGCCTGTTCCAGAAACAACTCCAATATTGTGACGACCACCTTTACAAGAATGAACCTAGTGGTACTAGAATACCAAGTAACTAATTTACATGCACAAAGAACACACATTTACGCCTCAATGTTATTTTGTTGCAAAATGCTGGATCTAGACTGGGTGCCAATTGATGAGATCAATTAATGGCCGAAGAATTTTATTTTCGTCAAGTTATAACTCCTCCATTTCTGTCAACTAGTTATATTTGGGACTATGTTATAATTGGCTCCCATAATTCCAAATGTTAGGGCAATAATGGGCTAATGGTATTGAAGCGAAGTAATAAATTTGCGGGCTAAAAATGGTGTACGGATTCCAAGTTCCCTTTGACAGTTGTCTATGATTATAATAATTTCCTTGTATCCTTGAGCCTGATGTAGGCATTTCAACTGATGTTATCCTTGAATAGCGATCAGGGTCCTGCTTATTTTGATAATGCCTTTACATGCCTAGCTCTGCGGTCATGAGTGGAGCGACATTGGGGCTGGTTGTGAGATCTGTCAGATAACATGACGTATTTTTTTCCGGCGTAGAGCTCATGTCCAAGACTTTGTGGTTGGGAAAATTTGTAAACAGTAGAAGAATTTTTTCTTTATACATCTCGATCCGTATCATAGGCACTAGGGGCTTGAGAAAAAGAAATCAATGATGACGAAAAGCGGCGATACGTTTTTTTAGAACGCAATTCATGCTCACTTTCAGTTCCTCCCAAGCCTTCACCATAATTAATATTACTCGAACGAGTTAGATCAACAATACTATTGGATTCTGGCTCTGGTGTTGTCAAATCAATGAGTTCTACATGAGCTCCTGGCACAAGAGCTGTTTCTACTTTTCTATGTTCCATAAAGCGCATCGAATTATTTAGTGCACCTCGGACATCATAGATAGGAAAACAATCGCTTGCAACAGATTCTCTATAGATAGGCTTATATTCTTTATACAAACCTTTTTCAAGTCTGTAGGTATTTAGGTGATGAGAGTCATTTTTTTTCCATCGATGAAGAGATGGGGTTTCGGAATGGCATTCGGAATTGTAAACTGGTATATCTGCTCCTCGTTTATGGAGCGGGTATGGTTCAAGGCGGTCGGGGCCATTTCCGCACGCTGCTCGATGATATTTCATGGGAGGACTATCATGATCGATAATAATCACGTTATGTGATACAGGGGTTGGAAACCTTCTCTCACCTATATGTCGAGTACTTGGTTCCCCGCCCTTGTTGGCCCATTCACCTGAATAATACCGGCCCTCCAATTCCCTTGAAGAATGATCATCGGAGGATTTCTCAATGGATTGAACTAGTAAATCTTGTATACCAGGTCTAATCACATTTTGTGGTGATAGACACTTCAAATGGTACCTAGACAGAGGTACTATACGATGACGAACATATTTATTAGAAGTCGTACATTCATTTATTGGTTGTTTTGATAACTCGCCTCGTTCTATAATCCGAGCAGAGCCAGTATTATAGTGTCCAAGCATAGGGGGAGCCTGGTTTAGTTAGTATTAATCTAGTTTGATAGAGGGTATTAGGTATGAAATTTGTGGCTCACAGCAGACATTACACCACTTTCGCCATGCCTCCAAATTTGGTTAACGCTAATATGATACCTGGGTAAAGAAGATTTTTGTTTCGCCTTGCAAGTCCCTTCAGGATTAAGTTCATTGTAGGATTCTATACGCGTCGGGTAGCAACGTCTAGTTGAGGGAAGTGCCCGATATAAAATCTCACCGTCAGCAAAACTTGTAGATTCTTCAAGTTGTCGGCGTAGTGCACTATCCCAAGCAGCCTGGTATCGCTTGAAGCTTCGTTGGGGCAAGTTATCCTTTGGATTCCTATCAGATATGAATTCTACTCCTGATGAGACTGATTCATGCGGCATATTATCAGGAAGTAATCTTTTTATTAGTTCTGCATTACACTGACCCTTAATATTTGGTCGTTTAGAGGTCGGCTGGGATGGAGGTCCTAAGTTACTGCTCGATGTGACCTCGCCCTCTTCATCGGAACTGTTTGCTTTGGAAGTAAGTTGGTTATCATAATCGCTTTCTGAATCGCTGATAATAACAACTTCGCGTAGTATTTCGTCCATTTGGTCACGTCCTGTTTCTTCATCACCCCGCCATTTTAGTATTACATCCAGGCAAACTGGTTCAACGACTTTCCGGGCATTAATCCAACTTGTTTCTCGGAGCAATTTATCATACCTAGTATGATTATGCCGAATATGAGCAAGAACAGCGAGTTGTACTCTTCGAGACAGGGGAATATTAGACTGCGTCCCCACAGTTGGCTCTCCCTGAAACATAGCTCCCTGATTTGCTTAGTCCAATATTTAACTTTGTTGTGAGGGAAATTAGACCTTCTTGAAAGCGTGTTCTATAACCATCTGCCTATCCGTATTTGGTATCCGAGGAAATAGGTCGCGGATGGCAGCATCGGCCTGCTTGTTAATATCTATTTGTAGCTCTGGAATTGGTTCTATTGTCCCTTGAGCATCAGTCTTAAAGTTTGGACTTTCACCTAAAAATTCGCGTGCTTCATCAATGATCATTTCTCGGAAGTGGAATCCAATACGATAGACGTGTTCTGCTATTTTGGATTGTTCGCCTTTACAAGTCTGAGAAACAGGTGTTAGAATGTGTTCATGGATCCATATTTATACACACCGATACAATGAAGATCATTGCGTCTTTTTCCCTTGACAACTCTTTGCAAGCATTCGTTAATGATGGATCTCCAATTGGTACAAAGGCATATCCGGGTGGCGGCTCAAGTTTGTTTGTGACCTGATAAAGGTCATTCTGTCATACTTCATTTTGGTCCGTTAAAATGTACCTGAAATTCGAGCTTTTTTTCTTTCTTCCCGGGATTGTCGGTAAACTCAAAGTAAGACTGATACTTAGTTTTCACTTTTGGGATATCGAGCTGTGCAACGAGATTCGAAGGAGCTGGAGCTGCCCAATCCTGAGCGGTGAATATCCTCTTTTCTTTCCTACGTTGCTCGAGCTTTTTTGCCCGGCGAGCCTTTATACCGCTATCGTTTAATTTGCGGCATTTCAACTTGCCTTTGCCAATGCACTGTTCAGTATTTTTTTTACTAACAGTTTGAAATAAGTCTTTTCGGCCCGTAGTTTTCCGCTTTGCAGTGTCAATAGAGACAACTCGAGGATTCAACTTGTTTTTAATCAATTTCTTCTCGGCTTTTGAGTTGCGCATATTAGCCCAATCAAGTATCGAGTGAAGCTTAGACTGATTTGGCTGTTTGAAAGATCTATCGGTCATCAATCGCGACTATTCGTTCTCATACGTTATCCGTTAACCAAATGGACCGACGACTAGAACGATAAATTAGGTCTCTCGGTAATATCACGTGATTGTATGATAAAGGTAAATAATAAAGTCGAATTCCGTATGAAAGATCCAAATTGCTTTTAACACTACATTTAGCAGCCTTTCTGTAGGGAAAGAGCAGAGGCTGGGACTCAGGCCCTTAAAAGGAACATTGTATCATGTAATGTTATTTATATATACTGTGGATGCGACGTCAGGCGTTGCCTACGCGTATATTAAGGACTCGGCATCTCAAGTCGGGAAGAAGCGAAGGCGAGGATTCCAGGGCAGTAAACACTTGTATTCATATCTAGTATTAAGTAGGTCGCAGGACCCTAAGTCATAGTATGTCATTCCAATGGAAGTTAAATAATTAAAGATACGAACAAAGCTCTGAGAATCTATAATTATATTTACCGATGAAATAACAGGTAGTATAAGAATGAACTTCAGAGGTACACCCTTAAATATCCACTGTCACCTAAGTAAGGCCCAGAGCAGTCCCACCATTCAGGTAAGAAGCAAGCATATCGGGCTCAATTGCTATCTGTACAAAAGAAAAGCACCTGTAGCAAAAAACCCTCGCTATCAACGTGGTTATCCGTAATAAAACATGATGCACATGGTCATGGCGTGTCTGCAGTGGGCAAGTGGAAGGGGCGACGGTTTCTCACTAGCACAAGGCAGTTCATTTGAAGCAATGATTAAGAGCCCGGAAGATGTGACTAGAATCGTACAGTGGATACTAATTAAACGATGAATAAAATTGTTTCAACTTGTAGGGGAAGTCGAGGTAGCAATTTCGGATAATATTGAGCGATCTGGGTAGATGAGAAATGGAATCCATGCTGGCTGGACAGTATGATATGTACTTCCTGATTGTATGCTAGATAAGCCGACGGCAATTTGATCAGCAGGATTAGGTGGATTCCACCAATTTGTTTTCATCCTTTGAAAATAATGAAGTTAGTTACGTGCAGGGTCCCATAGGGTGTCTGATAGGGTTAAGTGAGATCAACATCAAATCCATTTAAAACACATGCTAAGGTAAGTTTCCTGATATTTGCGGATATTAGAAACGATTTTGGTAGAATTTCTAAATCTTAACATTAAAGTTTAAATAGACTGAAATATCAGACCTTTTTAACTGTAAACTCCCTCAAGCTTGAAGTATTAACAAAAATTCTGGAAAGGATCACTTTTAGGCAGTATGCTGGGCACAGATGTGGTATATGTTATTCTGCGATTCTCCGCAAAGAATTACCTACAAGCAACAAAATAATCTGGCTATCAAGGCGAAACTATCCACAACGTATCGCTACAAGTTATTGGCGCTTTAAACGACTTAAGTCAAATTACAACAATAGTACCACTAAATAATATGTCGTTGATTGAAGATCCATACTGTTGTCCAGGTGATGGCTAGGATTCTGATGCATATTCATTTTATTGTCCTGTCTGAGTCGAAGACTATGTAGGACTTGCAGGTCCTCTCTGCCTACAGGCCAAGGACACCTATACCAGTAGTATATCCCCTCCTATGCCTCCCATACAACCCCCCTCACAAGTCCTCATTCGATCATACACTAAGAGGAGCCCTTTGCCCTTCATTCTCTCCCCTCTCTAGCCAACGAAACGATGGCCATTTGCGGGTGTATGGCAGCCGGGAAAAATCGCAAAAAACCACTGGGTGTGGAGCTCTCCTAATACCGACATTAGGAATAAATCCGAAGACATATTGTCCCTTCTGAAGCGTTCGAAGAGGCCAGCTAGCTGGGTGCTTCAGACTTGTGGGAACCTCAGAGAATTCAGACTCTGCCTTTCTAGCCTCCTTCCAACTCCTTCCCAAAGGTCGTGCTTAAATGTCAGAAAAGTCTTGATAGAGCGTAATTGCTGTATGGCAGCTTAGCCCAACTTCTTTTGTACCGTCCAGGGCGCTGGGGAGTGCCGTTGACTCATCGACAAAAGAAGCCTTCCTGGCTAATTAGCCAAAATCTAGGTCTTGGCGCCCAAGAACAATCCAAAGTTGAAAACTCCTCGAAAATATCGGTCCCAGCATGCTCTTCAGAGACCTCTTTCCCCGCTCGCTCCACATCGCAGCCGCCTGTTCTTCCTCATGTTATTTGTCCTACTAGAGCAACAGTCCCCCATAAACCAAGACCCCAACTTTGTATTTTTCGACTTAATTTCCTCCTTGCGGGTATTAATAGCGTCGTAAATTTTTGGTGAGAGATGGCTGGAGATTAATGGGGCAAGCTCCTGTATGCAATTGGAGCAACTTCTTTATTGGTCCTTGAGGCGAGATGATGCTTGTTTAGAGATGGGTTGAGGACTCAGTTGATAATGATAAGAGAGGCATTGTCGAGAAGTTGTCAAATGGACATGTGTATGAGGTTGCTTTTGACTTCGATTCGGATGCGATTCTTCTTGGCTTTCCTAGATATGCAGAGCATACTGAGCGATTACACTGGCACCACTGGAAGGTGAAGAATTCGTCTTTGCCGGCTCTGATGCATAAGAGTGGTGTCTATATGTTTTTATTGTACTACTTGAGCCTATGACTATCTAGCACATTGGGCTCTTCTCTGACCCAGGCCACACCTTGTGCAGTGCTCCTTGCCTCTTTTGTTACTAGTAAGATCATTGATATACTGCCCGTGATGAATAGCAATTCAGCTCAGTGTTTACCCGTAAAATTCGGCCACCTTTTCCACGGAACCTTCTACCCAAAAAAAATTGGTAGCGATGGAAACTGCGTGCGCGGAAAAAAGTCTCAAAAAACCTGCAGGACCAACCAGGCGAGGCCTAGGCACCGGGACCACATGAGGTGCGCGTATTCATCTAAATCTCTCATCTTTGTAACATTAGAGGTCGACTTGATCCAATCCGCCATCTCCGTATCGGGTGCTGAGTACGCTCCGGACTCTCATCGGATGGCCTTTCTTCCATCATTAAGGTTAGGTGATGAGTAGGACTCCGACCCTACCATCTGATCTGATCGTGGTTAGCTTCATGATAATGGTGATAGGGGAATGTGTTGAGAGATGAAGACGATACAGACGGCGAAAGCGATAGGAAATCCTCGTCGAAGTGAGGACTTTGTTACTCAATCTCAGCCCTGCAGACTCTACAGTGAGAGCTGGAGGTTCATAGGGGACACCACTGACAGGTGTTGAGAATAGTCCCCCGCACAAGAGTAGTGATTACTAGGAATGAGGGAAAAGTTCCGGGTGATTCCATGATCAGTAGAGAGGCAGTTGAACACTGCATGGAAAGTGTTTCAAGGCTATACTACCAAATGGTGGATACTAGGATATTTCGTGATACTGTTTTGGGAAAATAAGGCGAGATTCTAGCTACCTCAGATGTATACATTGGTAGCGCTTTCTGCCTCCTAGATTCTCATCGTTTTGAATACCAAGAATATCAGCAGTTCACATTGATTTATTGATAATCATTTCTAAACCTTCTGTCAACAAACCCTCCATGGGCTCTTACCTTAATAACACAAGCCTATCCCAGATATCCCCAAAGACCTCTCTGCTCTCACCGTAGCTTTAGAACTGACAACAATCGGAACATTAGATAGCAGGGCCTCTACTGCTTACAAGTTTTATTACCTCCCACTCGCGAAGACTGCACAAGAAAGATGGACAATAGTTGAAATTACAGAGTGCGTGAATAACTCAGGCTATCTTCAATGTCAGTTATCAGGTGTGAAAGGACTGGTCGTGATAGCTGTTCATACAAATGAATCCAAAAATTTATATCCTTTAAAATAAAAGAACTACATGACCTGCTCAATTGTGCATCTTCTATGTCTAACGAAATAAACTCCTGACTTGACTATCAAAGGAAGTCGTCCAATAATTTTATCTTTATTTCCATAAACTTCATTGTCTCAAAATGGGGGACTATTCTCAACACCTGTCAATTGTCCCCTACGAACCTCCAGCTCTCACTGTAGAGTCTGCAGAGCCGAGATTGAGTAACACCTTATCAACTTTGAGCTGAGTTATCTCCCCCTCCGTCAAAGATACGCTTCCGATAACTCATAAGACGACTGTAATGATGCTGGTGATGAGGAAAGATGTTGCGGTACCAAACACTACAACGGTAGTCAGAGAAGCCCTCGTTATATTACAACATGTGCTACCCACCGGCGGGCAAACAAAAAGCCCACGAAAGCAAAGTAAAAGACCCTTCCGCCCTCAAGAAAAGCAGATTTCGACTCGTCAACAATATGATTCCTTCTAATCTATACCTCCCAATCTACTAGCCAGGGGGCATCTGAAGTACATGAGTTACTCGACAACCCCACGTCCGTAACGAATTTTGGATGCTAGGCTAGGCTCCTTCGCGACTGTCACTCTCGACCAAGACTTTTCTGACATTCTTTCACGACCTACGATTTGTCCTGCGGCATGAATCAAGGGAGGAATAATGAGGAGGCTAGGAAGGTTGAGAGACGCTCTTAGGTATACACAGGTCTGCTGCGCCCGGCTGGCCGGCATCTTCGTCATAGGAGAGCCCCGCACCCAGTGCTTTTTGAGAATTTTCCCTGCAGCTATACACCCGCAAATGGCCATCGTCTTGTTGGCTGGAGAGGAGAGATAATGACGGGATAAAGGCTCCTCATAGTGTGTACTCGAATGAAGACCTGTGGGGATATTACTGCTGGAAAGAAGTCGTGAAGGAGGCATAGGAGGGAGTACACTACCCGAGGCATAGATACCCCCGGCCTGTAGGCAGAAAGGACCTACATTTCCTTACATAGTTATAGTCTTTTTAGGACAATAAACACTCACTCACTCATTCATTGGCTCAATCTCGTATTGTAAATAAATAACTAAGTTTCTCTACCGTGTTATCACGGTCTCAAGTTTCTAGTGGAGCTTTGGCAGGGGTTTAAGCGTGCAAACTAAGACTCCTTAGGCATAATTACTTTCCATATTAGGGTTAGCCCCCGTATTTGTGAAAATTTTCGAAGAAATTTATATGGCAGTATTTTTCTGGACACCATAATTTGCAGTTGGTCTTTGCTTCGTACTAAGCCTAATTGGTATAATGATCGGCTGCATAACACTTGTGCATTTTTGCTACTTGACTTTATAACTTATTTACAAGAGTTCAAAGGTTTTCGAATTACGAGGTAGATCCCAGTCTTATCTTAACATTGGATCTGATTGATGGTTGATTATATTTGTTTATTGTCACATGTAGTCTATGACTATGTAAGGACATATAGGTCCCTTCTGCCTAAAGGCCGGGAGTATCTATGCCTCCGGGAGTATCTATGCCTCGGGTAGTGTACTCCCTCCTATGCCTTCTTCACGACTTCTTTCCAGCAGTAATACCCCCACAGGATTTCATTTGAGTACACACTAAGAGGAGCCTTTATCCCGTCATTATCTCCCCTCTCCAGCCAACGAAACCACGGCAATTTGCGGGTGTATAGCTGCAGGGAAAATTCTCAAAAACCACTGGGTGCGGGGATTTTCTAATACCGAAATGAGGACTAAATCCAAAGACAAAGTGAACCTTCTGAAGCGTTCGAAGAGGCCGGCTAGCTGGGTGCTTCAGACTTGTGTGTACCTAGGGAAATTCACACTCGGCCTATCTAGTCCTCTTCCAACTCCTTTCACGTTAATAATGCCTATAAACGGAATCAGAAAAGTCAGATTTTGACCCATCAGGGCCCTAGTCCTGTAACACCAAGTCTGAGATCACATTTCGCGCGGAGACTAGTATATGGATAATGGAGGCATGTCTAGAAAGCTTGGAGAATTGGAGAACTTTCTTTGTGTGATCATTCAGGGATGAGGGCTGACGTGTGTTGAGGAATATGCCACCATAATTTTGAAGTGGTACTTGCGAATGAAATCCGAGACATGAGTGCTCTATTCTTTAACTGAGTCATTTATGCTTTGCTTCATGTCTAATATTGTATCATAGCTAGTTAGCTGCTTGCAATACTATTAGCTAATTCAAAGAAAAAAAGACAACTTCTTCGAACCCATCTGGACCTAACCACCGGACATTTTCTGGGGGACGAAAACTCAACACCTTTTAGTCGTGTCCCCTATAAACTTCCAATTCTCAATGGAGAGTCTGCAGTGCTGAGATTAAGTAACAACTAATTACCCACTTCCATGAGAGTTTCAAATCTCCCTGGAGGTCTGTATCATCTTTATCTCGCAGGACAAATGAGGACTTACACGGCGTAATATTGTCTGAGGGATGCTGTGGGTGAATATGCGTTTTTGGACTCAAGTTGTACAACAAACATAAATGTCTCTGACATAGATCACACCTTGTAAACTTCTCCCATCCTCTTCTATTACTTCAAATATCATTAATATATTATGAAGGGAGCTGTATGGGAGGCATGGTAGGGGATACACTGCTAGATAGGTATCCTTAGCCTATAAGAAAAAAAAACCTGCATGTCCTAAGGGGTCGTAGACTGGTAAAAGACAGAAATTGAATTGATAACAATCTCTCTGCACAATCCCCTAGCACTTTTAACTTGAAGCTAACCACGATCAGATCATGTGGTAGGTTGAAGCTCTATTCATCACCCAGCCTTGGTCATAGAGGAGAGTCCAAACGGTTAGTTTCCGAAGCATACCTACTACATGCTACGTTCATAGTGCATTTGATCAATTTGACCTCAAATATTACAAGGCAGATATGGATGTATATACGCAGCTAGTAAGGCCCCAGCTAGGCGACGCCTAGCTGGGACTACAGGGTTTTGAGAACTCTCCCGCGCAAGCAGTAGCCAAATTTTTTTTGGGTAGAAGGTTCAGTGGAAAAGCTGGCTGGATCTACGGGTAAATACTATTGGAGGGCATAGAGATACTTTGAAAAATGTTTGAAGTGGATTGAATTCTCTGTCCTCCTCAGATCTCCCCTCACTAGCTTACATACATTCGAACCATTTACCATCTATCATATCATTTCTGCTTGGCCTATCAGTCTTAATTGAGTAAGAAAAAGTTTCACTAGTCAACCTCTTGAAAATTACAATCTCAAGAATCTCTAGTATGAAGCGCGCGCGTAAATAAAATGAACAAACATTATGAGGTTTCCGAGCGCGCGTTGTATACTCAGTAAATGGTGTGGTAGGCGTAAGAATGAAAGGGTATCACGTGGTGTCTTGTGGCTCTTAACTACAACGGATCTCGTGTAGAGCTTGAAACTAATACGTGAATTCTGTATCCTTCAAGTACAGGATGTCTATGTGTCTGTATACATTGCTTCCTCCTTACTCCTCACAATAGTAGATCTATTTCTGTGGTCGCGGGCTCTGACAGTGCGATTTCCTGTGCGTGAGGTCATAGAATAATTACGACTACGTGTGTGCCGTGTTTCTTACAGCTAGCTAATTCGTGTCCTGTAGATCTATCCGGGATCCACAATGATTTGGTAAGCCTAATCAAAGCGCGTGTCAAGGAAAAGGGTTTGACATGTGCTATAAATTTGCAACTTAACTTTCAATTAAAGTAAATTTAGAGCTCACGAAAGACTGCTGCATGGACAAATCCTGAACTAAACGTTTTCCCATTGTTGGCAATTTACCAGAGATCTTTTGTGTGGCAAAAGAGGATAGGAGCACTGAAAAAAGTGTGGCCTGGGTCATTGAGGAGTCCAGTCTACCATATTTTTTTTCCCAAGTAGTACAGTGATGCCAAACCACTTCATTTTATCCGCAATGAAAGTGCTAAGGCCTTAGTGTGATTAGATCCTGTCCAAAACTACTAGTCATTCGGACCAAACAGTTTTTAGACATTGATAAAACTGATTCATGATTAAGCATTTCAATACATTCGTGATCGTACCTGCATCTTGGATCTCGATGTATCTTTTGCAAGATTTATACTTTAGTATCGGAGTAATATGTATGGAGGATATAATACAGCAGCTTGGCATAATAGACACATGAAAATACAAATTAACTGGCTGTAAATTTTTTACAAGCCTCTGTGTTTATTTTTAATTTACCGTAAACAATTCATTAACTTTAGAAACAATACAATAGACATTGAATGGTCATGGATATTTGAAATGTATTCAGGGGTGAAATTGAGGGGTATAGGCAATAAGATATAGCTATTCCTAGCATAGGCTACGAAATTCAATTTGAAAATGGCTTGGCAAATTAGGGCATGTACTTGGAGTAGTAGATGTGTTTACCTACAGAAATCTACATGATACCGAGCCCTCAAGTTGCGAAAAAGTATAGAATTAAACATATGATGACGCCCATGGATTTCTTCTACCAGTTTGGATTGCTTATCGGTATATGTTCTCTCATTAATCAAGGCTCTGCATCTTCAATTTTCCCAAAGCCTGGAGATCCCGGAGCGATATACAATGATTTTATTTGTGGTGGAAATTACTTCAGTATCAGTGCTGTGATGAAGAATCACCGAATAGCTTGCGATAGCCTGCATAATGCAGAACCTGGCGAAGTCTTTCCAGCCCACTTAACAGACACTCAGTTGTTTAGTCCCAACGTCATTCCACTGTTTACGTGGCCCATTATCTCTGAAGATAGAACTTTCAAATCTAGTAGTTTTTTTGAAGGTTATTTATTCCCGGGCTATAAAGGTCGATCAGAGTATGCTAATGATGTCTTATCAAGTGCAACCAGGAAATTTGCGCCTTGTTATCGACTTGAACTGCAATTTCTTAGGTCTTATCAACTATCACAATGAAAAAGCTGAAAGATGTCTTGAATTTTCAAGAAAAAAATATGGAACCAGGGGCCAAGCCTTGGAATACTACGCAGGCTACAAATGCTCTGATGTTGTGTTTAGAGCTGCATATGTCCGGGAATCTGTTACATCAGCTCATAATAACCTAATTAAAAAAAAAGGCATTCGCTTTCCCGAACTATTTTATTTACAATCCTTAGAAAAACGCGTCTACATATTTCCTCTTCTTAAAGATCATAGCATCTTCCAGAATCAAGGTAAAGGATATTAACTTCGACTAATATTGAAAAGCGCTGATATTTAGTAGTGGGAAGAGAGAAAAAATTCCAAAAGTATTTAGTTGTATTTTCTAAAAGTTTTGAAATTCTGCAAGTCATTGATAGATCTTTTAATGATGATAAAATATGTAAAATGTTTAGCGGAACGATTGTGTCTCCTCGTCACCGCATCGAGGCCTTGAGTACACAACAAATTGTAGACAAAGCTGACAGTGAAAAGTTTGATTGTAATGGACAAATCTTTGGAGGAAACTTTATTTCAGTGAACAAAGAAAAAGCAAAAAACGCTTATTACTCTAGAAGCGATAGACGTCTTAAACAATACAGGTTTCCATCTCCAATCGAAAAGGAATCCGCAAACATTCCAAGTAGAGCGTGGATGTGGCCTCTTCGTATTCCAGAGACATCTCAGCGAAGTACATATCATCCTTCATTCTTCAATGTCATAAACTTTGCTAACTACTTAGAATCCAAATCCACCACCAGTTACCAGCTAATATTTGGGGAAGATCATGAATTTCTCGGGGTATATCACTTTTCAGGAACCACATATGTTAGGTGCTCTAATGGAAACAACCCAGAATACCAAAGAGGTAGAGGATCAAGATTCCCCATTGACCTAAATATATCTGCCGAAGAGGATCATTCATCACCCAACACCGATTGAGTGGTGCAAAGAAGGCTGTGGATTATTAACGGTGACGCAATTGTAATATACTAGTTGCGCTTCTCCATTCTTTTGTTTACAACATCGCTTCATTTCACGGTTTATGGCTATGTAGAATACACAGGTTTTGTATATACAGAGCATAGATAATTACACCTTGAATGATAGAACCCATCCTCTGCCTTCTCGGACACGCATTCTTAAAATTAACATCCGCATAAGTCTTTAATTCTAGACTCAGTAGAGCTATTTTCTTTTCATTATTTTCTTACTAACTAGCGAATCAATGATCATGTGCGGGTTTATGATAGTCGGGATTACATGGAAACCACTGAGCGTTGGGCTTCCCTGAAATTAAAGTCAAGACTCCAGCGTGAAGCCATGTCTTAACCAGAATTTTACTTTTTCGACTTCTGAAGCTAGGAGGCTCTTCAAAAATCATCGAGAAACTTCAAAAGGAAGCCGCTCTCTTACATTGCCTGCTATACGCGCTTGCTGCGGCTTACTGCAACTACGGATCAAGAATGCATTCAGAACGAGGAACAAAGCTCCTGCAAAATATAAAAACTGTGGAGACACATCGATCAGATTGACGGGTCTGCCTGGTCTTTTCCACGATGAACCATTTGGCATAAAAAGAGCAGCATTTGGCAGTTCGCAAATTGGAGAGCCGTATGTGTGTGTGTTTCTATTGTACTACTTGAGTCTATGACTATCTAGCTCATTGGGCTCCTCTCTGACCCAGGCCACACCTTGTGCAGTGCTCCTTGTCTCTTTTGTTACTGGTAAGATCATTGATATATTTCCCGTGATGAATAGCAATTCAGCTCAGTGTTTACCCGTGAAATTCGGCCACCTTTTCCACGGAACCTTCTACCCAAAAAAAAAAAATGGTAGCAATGGAAACTGCGTGCGCGGAAAAAAGTCTCAAAAAACCAGCAGGCCCAACCAGGCGAGGCCTAGGCACCGGGACCACATGAGGTGCGCGTATTCATCTAAATCTCTCATCTTTGTAACATTAGAGGTCGACTTGATCCAATCCGCCATCTCCGTATCGGGTGCTGAGTATGCTCCGGACTCTCATCAGATGGCTTTTCCTCCATGACAAAGGGTTGGCGATGAGTAGGGCTCCGACCGTACCACATGATCTGATCGTAGTTAGCTTCATGATAGTGGTGATAGGGGAATGTGCTGAGAGATGAAGACGATACAGACGGCGAAAGCGATTGGAAATCCTCGTCGAAGTGAGGACTTTGTTACTCAATCTCAGCCCTGCAGACTCTACAGTGAGAGCTGGAGGTTCATAGGGGACACCACTGACAGGTGTCGAGAATAGTCCTCCATTCGAGAGCCGTAGATTCATAGATGTATGAATAAATATCTACTCGCGACGGGTACAAGCCCTGCACTCAAAGAGCATGACATCGAGAAGACTAGCTTGTCCAACGACTATATACGACATCAACTCAGTTTGACATTTGGACTACTCATATAATGGGTGCATTCGCTGATACCACTCAGAATCTTGATGCCAGGGACTTTCACCCTTCGCTCAACCGTTAATTTCCACCAAAGGGAAAACGGGAAAAACCTTTGGCTACGCTAACATGTCTTTGCCATCTGTCATATAGCCGCCGCGCGAAATATGGCCTCACAGTCCTCCCTTTCTCGAGTGAGGTAGGTGTCCAGGCTACCCTGACTTTAATTCGGGGAGATGACGACCAGGAGGCGGACCAAAATACCTTCCATCGGTGCCCGTTTTTAGAGTGTCGGTTGCATTATCCGAAATTGTAGCCTCTACGCCCACAGACATCCTCAACTTGAAAACGCTCAAAAACACTAGAAAAATATATGTCCTAATATGTCTCAATATGCCCAAATGTAACTTCGTCACTCGTTAGTCACATGCCCCAGCTGCCTGTCCTCCCTCAAGATGTGAAGCCTCATTAGAGCAACAGTCCCACATAGAGCAAGACCCGAGCCCCGTAGATTATGACTTAATTTCCTCCTCGCGGCCATACATAGCAACATAATTTTGTAGTGGGAGATGGCTGGTTCTTGATGAAGTAAATGCCCGATTACAATTGGAGTGTTACATGCTATTGCCTTGTAGATGGGATCCGGAGTTTATCCGGCTCCTAGGAGTTGATTATGTCAGCGATAAGCGAGATAACATCTAGGGGGTGATCCCACAAGTATGTAGTTTTTCTCTTTAGATACAAAATAAACCCATTCTGGATACACTCGTGCGGACAGCTATTCACTCTGGTGCCATCCTTTCACATATTTTATGTCTCAACTTTTTTTTACACTGCTAGTGCAAGTTTTAAAACCTCTCCTAGTTTTACATAACATCTTTTTGTATATGAGCACGTTTAGAGTCCCATCACCTACTGACTCTGCCTATACAAACTATTCAGTTCTTTCACAAGAGAACTTATCAATGTCTGATTATAACATAGAAAACTTGCCCCTCTCGTCTAATTCCAAAGCAGCGCTGCCAAAGACTAGAGTGACACAGGAGCAATTAAATCAGCTTTTATCTCTCATAGATGTCAAAGACGGCCCGGCTCCCGAAGAGCTTAGATCTGCCCCAACCTCTGGAAGAAAAAAGGCTTCAAGATGGCCAGAATGGGATGGATCTAAGGAGCTCTACAACACTTTTATGGATCAGCTAAACACTAAGATAGAAGTTGATTGGGAGTTACTAGGAGGTCACCGCGCTATTTTAATGGAGATGATGAATGCAATTCCCAAACAGTGCAGGACTTGAGTTTCAAACTGGTTTTCTACAGGCGGTCCAAATAACAACTGGAATTATAAATCATTTCTTCGCCATTTTGATGAAAATTTTGAGGATAAAACGTCTGCGAAAGCTGCGAGTGAATCGCTATCTATGATGAGGCAAGGTCAACATCAACTTTTTTCCGAATTCTTTGGAGACTTTGAGTACACACTTGCACAGGCAAAGGGGCTTAAATGGGAAGGTTGCGTTAAAATTAACCATCTGAGCTTGTGTTTAAATGATCGATTATCGGATGCTCTGGTTTATGTAACGACCTTAGAAAATGACTATACACTATTTGTCGGAAAATTGCGAGAAGTCTCGGGTAAGCTAGAAGCTCGTGACAACTACTTTCCGAAAAGAGGTCCAATTTTTTCAAAAACGTGGTATATTAACAGGCAAGGTGGCACTCAACCAAGTTCTGCTTTGGGTCCTGAAATTTCCTCGAGAAATTTACAAGAAAAAATTTCTAATATTGTGGATGCCAATGGTGATACTCAAATGTCGGGGATCAATGGCATAAGCATTTCAACACTGACCGCAATTATCAACGCAGTGAATTCACAGAGTCCAGGAAAGGGGAATATTAAAACTAGCAAACCCCCGGCGCCATGGCGTTCCCCAGAAGAATTTGCAGCCTTGCGTGCGGCAGGTAAGTGTACCTGCTGTGAGAAAAATGGACATTGGCACAAAAAATGCCCCGATTTTACCTAGGAAAGAAGACCCTCAAATATAAATGTGATAGTAGCTAGTAGCTCAAAAACTCGAAGGCCAGGTTTAGATTCAGCAGTCGATGAGGAAGAGTCGGGAAACGAGTGAACTCTGGACAAAACCGGGCCCAGAGGAAAATGTTAGCTATGGTCGAAGAAATGAAAATTATTGTAAAGAAATTAGACGGCACACCCTTCCTATTAGAAGTATTAATTAATAAAAGTTTTTACACTGATATATTCATGGACTCAGGGTGCTTATGATATTCTGCTTTCAATTATTCATTTGTAAAACGCCACAAGCTACCGCAAATTCCTATCGAGATGAGAGAGCTGAAACTGGCAAAGAATGATGATCACCGGCGCTCTATAAACAAAATAACCTGTGTAGATATGGATATTGATGGCAGGTGTGAAAGAATCTGGGGATATATCATTGATTATCCTTGGATGAGAGCTAATGATGTTCTATATAACGCAAGGCAGCGTTATATTTGTTTTGGTCCAGCTGGAGGTCTTACTGTTAAAGCTAAGGGATGAGATGACCGTCTGCCTGTGCATTCGAAGGCAAGGATAAGTTGTCTAAAAGTTAAGACAGGAGGCGCTCACCAGATTCTTAGAACTAAGCTCTTAGCTATATGCGCACGAGCACGCAAAACTAAGGATAAGGATACGAAACTTTTTGCGGCTTCTATTTCAGATATAAACAAGGCGCTTCAAATTAAAGAGAAATAAACTCCGCAACAAATTGAAGCTAGCTTACCACAAGAAATTCGCCAAAACGCCTGATATTTTACAGAAGATGAAAAGAACGAGCTACCTCCCCATCAACCGGGAGTTGACACTAAAATTGAGCTAGTCAAGGATGAAAATGGTATGGAGAAAGAAATTCCCTTCGGCCCTCTTTACGATATGTCACGAGAAGAATTGCTTGTCTTACGAAAGACACTTACAGATCATCTCGATCGAAACTGGATTCGGGCGAGTGCCTCACCAGGTGGAGCCCCAGTGTTATTTGCCAAGAAACCAGGAGGAGGACTACGATTTTGTGTGGACTATCAGGCCCTTAATTCAATTACGATCAAAGATAGATACCCACTTCCACTTGTTAAAGAAACGCTGAGGCAAGTGGCAAAAGCTACCTGGATTTCAAAGGTGGATGTTCGAGCAGCTTTCCATAAGTTAAGAGTCCATAAAGGTGATGAGCCAAAGATAGTGTTTCGTACTCGTTATGGCTCTTTTGAATGGCTTGTCACACCATTCGGATTAACAGGGGTGCCAAGTGCATTCCAACAATATATTAACACCATTTTACAGCAATTCCTCGGGGACTTTTGTTCAGCCTACTTAGATGACGTACTGATATATACCACAGGTGATCTCAGTGATCATTGGATTAAAGTTAATATGGTACTCGAACGTCTAGGAATAGCCGGTCTAAAGATGGACCCTCGTAAGAGCGAATTTGCTGTCAAACAAACAAAATATCTTGGGTTTATAATAAG